TGTGTGTGTGTGTGTGTGTGTGTGTGTGTGTGTGTGTGTGTGTGAGCTCTGTGTGAAGCATAGCTGCTACCTGAGACTCTGCTGCACAGCTCCTCGTGCACGTTCTCCTGCCTGTCCCGGCTCAGCACAGAGATGATTTCTTCCTCCAACTCCTCCACCAGCGTTTCACACTGAGACACAGACGCAGCAAACACTGGTCAAAGTGTGCTTCGACCATACATGCACAACACACATCTTTCACACACTGTGGGCACGCCATTTGCATGGCGGCGGCGGCCACGTTTCTCTCCTGTTTATCGAACCGCTCATCCATTTCGAAGACTCTGTGAAAGCACCCTTCCTCGCTTTTTATGAATTCGACTTCTGCTCCAGCTGCTTTTTCTTTAGCGAGGAACATGGTGGTGAATAAAAAGTACAAAAGTGGCTGTGATGCGAGTCCGAAGCTGTTTATTAAAGCAGCAGCTTTCAGTGGGAGCTGGCTCACCCAATCACACTCGTGATGCAATCCAACTTCAGAATAAACCACAAACTTTTCCCCGTGTCTGTTGTTTCATCTGTCCTATTAATTCCTTCAGACCCCTCGGTCACGTGAAGCCGCCATGGTGCGTCGTGGTGAAGCTCACAGCTGTTCAGTCTACACGTCACTAAATCCAATCATGGGTCACTGACCGGGTTTTCTGCAGTGACTGGTGATATCAAGTACTTTCTCAAATTGAAGGCAGGTGAAATGGCTGGCACAACCAACTGGCCACACTACAAACGCATGACAAATTAAAGGAAAACCCTGAATCACTGACCCCTACAGTGAAGAGCTCCGTTGGCTCCATTATGCTACAGGGGGCCATTTGTATCAAAAGAAGGGTCACTGCTACGTAGACACACTTGTTCTATGTGACACAGCGTCTTTGAACGGTTTAAAGAATATGAAAATTGATTTCGGAACAATGTCAGACATAAAAGAGTAATATTCTTGTATTTATTTAGCTCTTTTCTAGTTTTACTGACATCATGCTCCACCACCACCATAAAAAAAAACCCAAAAGGCGATATCTAATTCTGTTCCAACGTCTACTGCAAGAATAAATGGCGAGGAGCTCTGACGCTGATGTGGCAGGTCGCCACGTTATTGTTCTGGGTTTTTCTTTCATTTCTCATCTGTCTGTAGCTCACAGATTCATGACCTTCTCTTCAAGAAGACAAAGAAAAGTAGTGTGTTTTAAACAGACTATTTTTTCTGCATAGGAGCAATTATTTTAAATAACATGAAATATACATCTACATAAAAGTATCCATATACGAAAATGCCTAGAATAAAATGCATACTTTTGTTAATTTTGACAATGTGAGCTTAACAAACCGATTAATAATTAATTTACTAAAATAAATAAAGATATAAAAGGAATTTCAATAATAGCATTACTGCAACTATCCGATTTTCTAGTCTAACATTTTGTCCCAACTGATAGATTGATGAAAATAGCAAACGTGTATTTAGATTACACATCTAAGTAACTGTATGACTACCTTGTAATGCTTCTGCTATACAAAACGTGTTGTTTTCGATTGGACGGCGCTGGAAACCGACTGATGCAGGGTTGTCATAATCACCGCCTCCAATTTTAAATGTACATCTTCATTTATTGAACAACTTGTTTCAAAATTAGCAACTCTGAGAATTTTCTTTGTTTTTTGATTCTTAATACATAGCAATGGATGAAATTGGCCTGGAAATGCTTCCAATGCTTCTGTACATGATCCTGAACTAGGCTGCAGTTCTAACTATACTATAGTTCTACTTAAAAACATTGTTTTCAGTGCATGTTTCCACTCACTGCGAATTTGATGTCATTGGACGCCTCTGGCCCATCAAACTGGAAGTTCTTAAAGTCGGGGAAGTCGTCGGTGGAAGCACTGCTTCTGGGAGCAAACCTCCTGTACTGCTTGTGCTGGGTGATGGGATCCACATAGAGTGCATAGTCACTCATACTGTTGCACACGCCGTCCAGAAGCTCGCTGAGGTGAGTCTCCGAGCGAGCGAATGGGACCTGGCAAATCAAACCAAAGAGAGAGGAGGGAATCATCATGGACTGGCATGTTCCAGCACGGCTTCTTCTTGGACCGTGTAGCCATTGTCTCATGTTTCCAATACCCGATTGCCACGTTGAAACGTCTAAGAACTCGTGCCGGATAGACCAAAACAGCACAGCTGCATCATGGCAAAAAAGAAAAGACTCTGGGTTGGCCTAGTGTTAGCTGTGTTACACCACAGGCCTCAGGGTGGGTCAGTGGGGTGGCCTCTTGTTTCCGCTGTGTTTTCTCCATCAACGCTGAAATACCTCACCCTCCAACTTTGACTTTTAACCTGCATGAATACCCTCCCCAACCCTCCATCCAAACTCAGCCATGCTCTTCCACCACCCATCCCTTTCAAGACAAATCAACAGGGCGGTGGTGTCTAGACGGGTCAAGACAGGTGCTGTGCTCTGCTCCCTCCATCCCCGGAAGGATATTGGGTGACAGGGGTGACGCCCAGGGGTGAAGATGCAAGGATAGGGCACTGAAAAGGGTGAAGTAGGGGAGGGGTGGGTTTCAGTGTTTGTTATACCTCGAACTAGCAAAAAGAGGGGTTGGGATCCAGAGAAGGGTGGGGTCGTAGGAGGAGGAGATGGGAGAAGCAGAAGGCCTCAACAGAAGCCAAGTGCAGGGTAAACGGCTCATCTCCTCGGCCCCCACCCTGCCTCTGCGCTGTCTTTTGGCCCATTCAGCCCCTCCATCCTCTGACGATCAAAGGAGGAAATCTTCCTTGTTTTCTTTGGTCAAAGAGTGGCAGGACGGAGGTTGGGGGTGGGGGACAGTTTGGGTGGTGAGAGAACACAGAGGAAGAAGGGAGCGTTTTTGAGCCTCTTGCAGATGAACTGGATCTTATAATGATAGATAAATTATACTCTCAGCCTTTGTTTCTTCTTCTGTTTCTCTAACCAGCCATACTGATCACACACACACACACACACACACACACGCACACGCACACACACTTTGAGATGTGATGATGTGACAAAGGACTGCTCTGCCATCTGTCTTTCATCAAATCTTTGCCTCTTCCTGCTCAGCAAACTGAAATTTGGGGTAGTAGAGCAAAACCAGCCAGCGATTCCTCTGACAATTAGAACCACCTGAGCTCTCCGACGCTGCATTAATCCTTGCAGAAGACCCTGAGCCTGACAACACTGTTAGGGTTGCTAACAGTGTGCTGAGGAAGAAGGAAGAAAGTTGGCTGGTCGACAGAAGGTGTTACAGCACAGGGCTAAAGGTTGGAAGGGCCAGGCACTAGGGGATGTAGGTCATGTAGAGCAGTGGCGATGAGGCTCGCCTATCAATCAAAACTTGCTTGTGGTGACTTTGGCATCAGTGCTGTCATTTCTTTCACTCAATGACTGAATTTTTTGTTTATTGGATTAAAACTTGGTCAGTTAATTGATGCTGGTCACACTTTTCCTAGAACCATGTTGACATATTTAAATACCTTGGTTTTTTTCCCACCAAGCTTTTAAAAAGCTAATTTGAGAATGTGCAGAAGCCGCCACTGTTTTAATGATTTTGAAGAACACATGATCTGTTTTCACAAAATCATCTTTACCTGAAGCTTGCTAGGTTCGTTTTTTATTACACTCTAATATCCATGCCAATTTGACGGAAGGCTTATAATAATAATATAAATGACAAGTCATAGTTTATATTTGCATATTTCAGTTAGTCATTTCTCATCATTGTTTAAAGTCCCAGCTTCAGCAGTCAGATTAAGGTTTAGTTGGTAGGTTTGACCGCAGCCTGTATTTAGTGAGTCATTACTGAACGGCAGCTTAAGTGCTACTGAAGGCACATTCAGTAGAAACAATACTCATATATAGCATCATCTGTTGAAGCTGTTGCACAAATGTAATACTTTGGAGTTTGACTTAAAAACAGTACATGTTTGACAATGCAACATTCACAGGTTTAATTAACTGATTCATTGCAGAAATAATTGATAATACATGTTCCTCTATTGTCATCATGTCAGTCATATCTTTCTTTTTATATATATGATTATATGAGAATGAAACTGAATATAAAACTAAATCCTCAATCTCATCCAAACAGCATAAAAAAAGAGAAGAAAAGGGCTGCTCTCCCCGGCCCTACAATAAAACCATGTCAATCCATGGGCTTGGGTCTAAGTCATTATCATGCCATGCTACAAAATGGTTTGGAATTAAAGCCCTTCCTTGCCAGTTGCAGCCGTGTGAAAGGGAGCTGTCAGTCACAGTGTTGTTTGAAGAATGGGGTGGGGGGTGGTGGCTGAGGTGGTAGTGGGGTGTGACTGGTTGGCCCAGAGAATAGGCTTCTCAGGGAAGCTATCCTCCATTCAATTCCCATTGGACAGGGAGCCATTATTGCACCACTGTGGACAGGGGCCTTTCAATGTCATTGTTCTGGCCAATGAAGACCCATAAATTAACAATAATAATAATGATAATAAACAATAAAATAACAATAATAATGTCACATTGGCAGCAAGTGGAAGGAGAACCTAAAATGTATTTTTGACCTTTATATATCATTTAAATCCCAAATTTTCTAATAGCAGTCGTTGATAAAGGTCTAACAGTAATAATATTACTTCATTATGATAGAGTAGTAAAGCTAATAGTAACCAGCTGGTCATTCTGAATGGAAATGCTATGAGTCTTTATATGAGCTCTAAATCATAAACCAGGGCTTCTTGATGTCAGCAGTTTGGAAGATAGTGGCGAGCAGAGTCAGCACAAGGACTGAAACACTGTTTGGCGGTAAAGCTTCTTCACTCTTGTCAGAAGTCAGGTGAGAAGACTTTCTCAACAGTACGCTAAGCTCCACAAGCTCCTTCTTTTTCTGTGGTGTAAAGGACCATATTATAGGCCAAACCGGAGATACTACAAGAGTAAGACATGGCACTGATGAACATAAACAAAACTGGCAAAAGCAAAGAATATGACAGAAGCACCTAGGGAGTGTTTAAATCTGATGGGCGGATTGATACTTAATATCATTGTTCTTGTGCCACAACTTTGCTTAGAGTTTAGCCTGTGGAGAAAAGCTTCATCCCACGGTTCTGCTTACATCCACAAGAGGTCCTTTTTCCTCCTCGTCCCTATCATGTGTTTGTGCACACGCCGGGAAAGCCTTGGTCACATTACTTTAGCATCTAGCTAGCTCTACTGAGGAGCAAGCATAACTACAGTTATTGTTTTAACAGTTGAAAACTGCAGATTTAAAGCTTCCTTGTATCATTTTACTTCATGCCAGACTGTTTTTAACTGGATGTGTCGCACGATATTTTGCTCAAGTTATCTGGGTACTTCATATTGTATTGAAAATAAGTGGTAAAAAATCTTTTGTCTTTGAAATATTTAAATCCAGAATAAAATAATATTCTATGTTAGGGCTGCTCGATTATGGCAAAAATGATAATCACGATTATTTTCACTGAAATTGAGATCACGATTATTTGACGATATTTATTTCGTCCGCCAGAGCTTATATTATTACCAAGTCCGCCAGAGCTTTTTTTTTTTTTTTTACATGCTGTAGTGCCATTTGTGGGAGCATTTCAAGTTGCTATACATCAATACAACTGTTATAGCCCATATTTTAATAATATGTATGCATTAAGTCCATAGTAACTACATTAATTGCAAAAAAGTGCAATAAACTACAAAAAAAATTGAAAATCGTTTTTGTTTTTACATATATTTCTACTTTGAGAAATTTAAGAGGTTTATCCCTCAAAACTTTAAATACAAAAAAGTTGCAAAAAATAGTTTACAACAACAGGAAATTTATTTTGAGTGTCTTCATAGTTTTATTTTTGGAGATACAGCAATTTTTATATACTGCAGGAAAAACAAAAAAACAATCCTATGATGCAAATTTACAAAGAAAACAGCAGGTGCATCAAAATAAACTATTTCCAGCAGTGCAATTCGAGTTCTAAGGCCTACAAGTAAAAAACTACATTTTCCGCAAAAATGACGTCACTTGCGATAGTTCACGTTGACGTCTTTTTCAATGTGGGAAGTGTTAAGAACAGCTGATCGGATCGGCAAAGCGTGTTTCTGGAATATTATGTTTTTGTTCCTGCAAGCTCTTTTTATGCAATTTTTGCAAAGCTATATGTGGAAGGAAACCGTGACCGAGGACAAGCTGATGGCATCAGATGTAAGTACAACTCCTCTGGTTTCATATGGAAAAAAATTTATTGTGCTAGCTTAGCGTTCAGGTTCTACAGTGATTTAAAAATAGTTACACAAAACGAGCGTGCTGCTCTGACCGGCTTTAAAGGTTTAACAATAACAATGTATTGAATAATGACTTTAAAAAATAATATAAAATAGTGTGCAAATACTGATAACAGTGCAAATGTTTGCAATATAAGAAATAAATGATGATCCACGTCTGACTCCGCCAACCCATAATGTTTCCCACTTAAGTTTGTTTTTTTTACCTCTCTTTTCAACCAACGGCAGTCACTCTCCTCTCCAAATAACTTCTGCTTAGTTTTCCGAGCTTCCCTCGGGTCCTCTTAATTGTTGTGACGCGTGTTCGAAATGCAGAGAGGTGCGCTTGATTTGCCACACGGAGCAGCGCGAGAGTAAAGCATGAGGGAGGGGCTAATAATCGGCTCAGTCATTTTTAATGATCGTTGAAAGCCCAGATCGTAATCGTGATTAAAATTCGATTAATTGAGCAGCCCTATTCTATGTATTTTAACAGAGGAGTGGAGGCATTTTACAGGCTGTTGTGTTCATGGTCAGGTAAGTTTAGTCATTCCTTAGTTTGTTACAGTGGTAAATGTGAGTATTTCAAAGGACTCAAATTGTCCTTTCTCACTGTAATTGTGCTCTCATAGTGCTTTTAAATTTAGGCCGATAATGCTGTTTATTCTCATTAGCCAGATTTAAAAAAAACTAGCCAGAGGTTAGAAAACTTGGTTAGAAAGTCTCGTGATGCTCCAGTTTCTGTGATTTATTTCTAAGTGATTCTTAGAAATCAGAAAGAAGTCCAGTGTATTTAACCTTTCAGCATCTGATCAGATCTGGTTTATCATATTTCATCTCTAGTGACAGCTGACTTTTGATATGCCACGATGAAATACATCAAATGCTGGCCTAGTGATGGTCTCATAAAATCCACTAAAGCCATCATGAAGACTTGAACCAGGGAAAATCTGGCTGTTCACATGTTGTGTTTTTGACCTTCTACACTGTCCAAACTTCAAACATACATCTACGAGCACCTCTAAACAGGGTCAGCACCTCAGAAGATGGACTAGACAGGCAACCAACTCTGACAGGAGGGAATTAGACTCACTAACTTTACTATTTCATTGTAGATGCTCTAAATTGCTATTGACCAAATTATTAATATGGGCTTGGTTGTTACTACAATAACAATTATTATTGTACAACGATTAATTTTACCTATAGTTGTAAAAGTAAGTCCGTAGAATTCAGCTGAGGGGGCACAGTCATCCTTTTGGATGGGCCTGGGCCCCAAAGGCCGTTCACAATGCTAACGCTGCCTCTGGAGCTCACAGAAGAACATGTCCTGTCCACAGACTGATGAATGTAGCCACCACAGTGTTCCCCACTGGCTTTAGAATTCACGTTAAGGCTTCAACATTCGCCATGTTGTCGCTGTTGCTGTGTTTTTAAGAGCCAAAAGATACCATATTTATATAATAAGCAGGAGCGCCAAGTTAGCTACTAATGTTGCCAAGTTAGAAGGTGTATTATGTGCTGCACAGGTGCAACAGCGGTTGGGGTGAGGGGAGGAAGACAAAAGAGACCTGAGACATGACAAGTTGAATAATGAAATACTAGTCTCATACATCAATAACGGTGTGAAGTGGGAAACTTCAAACATGCTTTTTATGCTGTTTAGCAGGTCAAGTTAACGTGGAATTTTATTGGGACTGACTGACTTTTGGAAGTCCCAAAACTTGGCACTCCAACAATGGGTTCATTTTGTTGCCCTGAGGGTTGTCGCTGTTTTTTTTAATGCCGTGTGCAGTAAGAGTCTCAGACATGAGACTGATATCAACCAAATCAAACAGTAAGCAAAGAAAGGAAATTTGTTTGGAAGTTAGACTATTCCTTTAAGAAACCTCCAAGGAAAAATAAAAGATCCTTGTTGGATTAAAAAAAAAAATGACTGTCACCTCACTGAGTCACATTTCTAGACCATGATATTATGTGTCATTGTGTCAGCATGCTATTGTGCATCCTCTCATTCTCAATGCATGACTTCCCACCGTTCACTATGAGATCAACCCGCTCCAACTAAGTTCAATGTCTTTGGAAGCCTTAAATGTGGCATTGTTGTTGCAGGCAGGTTTAACTTTTGTGGCACAGAGCAGCCCCATACTCCCAGGAAGTCCTACTGTGACAAGGCCAAAGAGCAGAGACTTAAAACCTGCAAATCCTCCTCACTGATGGCATCTAAGCTGTGACATCCCTCCCTCTCTGATTCACACTAGGTCAAAAGCTGCTGAAAAGAAGGGAGCCGGGAGGGCATGGGATCAAGGTTTGGCTTCTTATGTGGCTCAATAACATCTGATTGACCAGATAATACAACAGGTAGAGGAAAGTGTCAGCTCAGAGTAGAGCAGGAGCTCACTGCTGGAGGAAGCTCATTCTCCCTGCTGGGTGACTGGAATGCTGTTTTCTAACTCTAATCAGGATACATGTAAATGCTTAGAGGATAGTTTGGACTTTGTTTTGAGGAAAATTATGCAGTAAAACTTGATGACTTATGTCGTCACACAGAACATCTAATGGCTACATTGAGCTAGTAATATCAGTGTTGAAAACAGTTGTCATAAGGCAAGATCTGTGATTCTGAATTTGCCTGTAGGTGTCGACGCCTACGTGCACACACTGATCGGTGCAGTTATCGTGATAGTGATAGTCACAACAAACGCTAAAGCTCCAGAAATCAATAGTATAGCTGTAAACCTCATGATTTTCTGGCCTCTGAGCAACAGGAAATGTCATAGTTCCGGGGGGGGGGGGGTTGACTTCATTACAGCAGACAATAGCCTGGATCAATCTTCTGCGCTCACACAGTGTCATGCACACAGCCACAGTAACAACAAAGATCAATCGACTCCTCCATGAAAAGACCGCATCTGTTAATCACAGCATCTATGTAGAAATGGCTCCTTGTACCCCGATTGCACTGTTAAAATGTACATGATGTTCAGTCAGTCTTTGAAAAAAATCAAAGGCAAATAAGAGCCTCGGGTCGGATGGGATTACAGGAAGACTGCTGAAGAATGCATAGCAACTTGGTCATGTGTTTTATGACACATTTATCATGTCTTGTGTGCAGAAATGAGTCCCTAAACTGTGGAAGTAGTCTATTGTGTTCCCTATGGCTACATACAGTATACCCAAACTGTTTAATACACTCAAACCAGCAGCTCTGATTTCACTGGCTAAACAGGAAGGAGAAATGGACTAGGCGGGGTGATCGAGATGGAAAGGATGTGCAGCAGCTTAGAGTGCTTAACGTGGAGATGTGCTAGCAAGTGCAGAGAGTTTGGTGAGAGTGTGTTGAGAATTAACTGATCTCTCCGATTAACTTCAGCAACTACCAAACCATCAACGTGTCTTTAGGACCCATTCCTACAAAACTGTTCAAAGAAGTCCAACTATTTATTTATGCTTCAATTTCTATTTTAATCAACTCTCTCTATTAATGGGCAATGTACCACAGACCTTCTAGCTCGCAGTAATTAAACTGCTACTTGAAAAGCCATCAGTTAAACCAAGGGGTCTTAGTCTAAGGAGCTTGGAAAGAAAAGCGTCTGGACTTACTTAACTTAAGAAGTAACTTAAGTTAAGAAGTAACTTAAGTAACTTAAAAAGTCCAGACGCTTTTCTTTCCAAGCTCCTTAAACTACGATGACCTGGATGACCGAGAACCTTCACAGACAAGGGGTCTTAGCTAATTATAGACCAATCACCAGCCTTCCTTTTATCCCAAGATTTCCCGAGATTTCTTGATGCTTACTCTGAACTAGGGCTGCTCGATTATGGCAAAAATGATAATCACGATTATTTTCACTGAAATTGAGATCTCGATTCTTTGGCGATATTTATTTAACAATAACAATGTATTGAATAATGACTTTAAAGATTGTCAAAAAATAATATAAAATAGTGTGCAAATACTGATAACAGTGCAAATGTTTGCAATATAAAAAAATGAAAAATGTAAACATCTATGTTTAGTGAACTTTGCAGTGTTGCTCTGTGGTGCAGCTACGACACTGTAGCAAAGTTTACACACTGTGTCTACTTGATCCACGTCTGACTGAACCCATAATGTTTCCACATCACTGAAGGTTTTTACCTCTCTTTTCAACCAACAGCAGTCACTCTCCTCTCCAAATAACTTCTGCTTAGCTTTCCGAGCTTCGGGTCCTCTTAATCAGCGGTCCCCAACCCCCGGGCCTCGGACCGGTACCGCTGCGTGAGTCGTTTGGTACCGGGCCGCGAGCGTTGAGGCTCAGGTGTGAAATGTATAGTTTTCAGGGTTTTTATCGGTTTTCAGCGTTATTTTGTTATCGTTTACTCTGTTTTCCTGGGTCTTTCCACGTGTGTTATGAATAAATCTTCTTTTTTTCGGTACCGGTACTAGTTTTATTTTGTTGTATTTATCCGCGACACCTTAAAGGCCGGTCCATGAAAATATTGTCGGGCATAAACCGGTCCGTGGCGCAAAAAAAGGTTGGAGACCGCTGCTCTTAATTGTTGTGACACGTGTTCGAAATGCAGAGAGGTGCGCTTGATTTGCCACACAGAGCAGCGCGAGAGTAAAGCACGAGGGTGGGGCTAATAATCGGCTCAGTCATTTTTAATGATCGTTGAAAGCCTAGATTGTAATCGTGATTAAAATTTGATTAATTGAGCAGCCCTACTCTGAACTGCATTGCCTTGGCCTCCAGTAACACTGTGAGGAACCTTAGAGTTTTTTAAACAAATGTGTAGGAAATTCAAAACATTTTGTCTTAGAGTGACGCTAAAAAACTAGTTTATGCATCTATTCGAGGGTGGACTATTGTAACTCAATGTTATCAGGCTGTCCTAAAAACTCCTTGAAAAGCCTTCAGTTGATCCAAAATGCTCCACTTAGAGCTGGAAAACGTCATTCCTAGAAAAAGAAAGCAAATTTCACCCGTAATGGCTTCCCTTCATTGGCCTGTTAAACCCAGAACTTTAAAATTCTTCTCGCATACAAGGTCTTGAATAATGAAGACGAGAGAGAACACTTCACTCTCAGACATGTGGTTCATAGGATATTTAGAAATAGAATGGAAGGCAGAGCCTTAAGACCCCTCTTTGGTGGATTCGGGAGACAGACACTGATTAAGCTTCAAACTTTAACTTTTTAAGAATATAGTCAGGGATGGATCAGGTGACCCAGAGTCCTCCCTCAGTTATGCAGCAATAGACCCAGGCTGCTGAGGGCCTGCCATGATGCACTGTGATTCACCTGCACTCACTGTGTGTTTACACACCACTCTGTATTTAATCTTTAGTTGTTACTGGTTTCTGCAACTCTTAAACAGTGTATCTTTGTCCTGTCGTCCCCCATCAACCCCAATCAGTCACGACAGATGGCTGCCCCTCCCTGAGCCTGGTTCTCCTGGAGGTTTCTTCCTGTTAAAACTTTGATCCTCCTTCCCACTTTTTACTCATAGGGGGGTCACCGATGAGGAAGCATCTGTTGGGGCTTTGGCAAGTGAGTGGTGTGTGTGTAAACACTGGCGTAAAGTACCTTTTTGTCTTTCATGGTTCCATCAGGGTTGAGTCTAAAGCTGCCGACATTGATGGTTTTCTTTGGGTCCACCTGACTGATTGAGTGGTTCAGTTCATCCACGATTGCCTTGCATGCTGGGAAACAGAGGTAAACCTCAGTGATGGAAACAAAACAAGCAACAGCTCACAGCCTGGAATTTAGTGAACATCACTACGTAAGTAACATGAAAAATCATCCAGAATTCAGTCTCATACTGATGTTTGTGGAAGTGCTACAAGGTCAAAATGCTATGGATGGGAATTGATTCCCGATTTGATTCCCTTATCGATTATCACTGGCTCCACCAGCATCTCTAAGCAGCATATCAACAACATTACATTCATGCAAATTAATTACATGCTGTGGGTCATATGTTTGTGCATGTTGTAAGTATTTCTCCTCATTTTTGCATTTATTGTGCACAACACACTGTGCAAGATAAGAAAGACGGGACAGGAGAGGAAGAAGAGAGGTTAGATTAAAAGATGAGGATTGATGAGGTTTTTAAATCAGATATTGGGTCTGTACATGTGGAATCGCACCGTCCCTTTTCTTTAGATTCAAGCTGAGTATAATACGAATTTTTAAAAAAGTTTTACAGTTTGTATTCCCATCTACTGATATTATTTTATCATATAAATATTGCATGAGGTTCAGTTAGCTTTGCAGGAAAATAGAAATATCCTCCAAAGAGCTACTTTTCACTTTATTACTTTGAGTACATTTCTGAGCCTGCAGTTTTTATGTTTACTTTAGTAAAGAAGTTGAATCAGCACTTCAACTTTACTGAAGTATTTTTTAACAGTAGTACTTGTACTTGTACTTAAGCACAGAATGTCTGTACTTTTGCCAACTCTGGAGTTACTTGGTGAGATGCTTTTGCATTGCAGTTCAGTTGTGGTTTTCCTTAAAATAGCAGCAATATTCTTTGAGACAGAAAGCTTCTGTCAGATCTGCATGACTTACCAGAACAGTAGAGCACCTTGTCCCTCTTCCCCTGGCTGCTGCCAGTAAAGACAGAGAGCACCATCACCATCATCTGAATAACCCATGCAGTCATCTTGATAGCCTAATAGTACAGAAAGGCATATACAGTAAAAACTAAAATCAAATTTCAGTATACTACACCTAAGTAACAGAGTCTTAAAGTGTGAAAACATTTCAAAAAACACAACATATTGTGTATTTAAAAAACCCAAACCACATACAATTTAAATGCAAATCATATTTTCAGTAAGTTTAGTGTGCTTATACATTATTGAAGTGTTATTTTACCTCCACGTGTACACAACTGAAACTGAGACCTGAAACCTTAAAGAGGGGAGCACTTTGGGAACTTTACGGAGGAATCAACAAGTGCTTTTCCTAAAACGTCACCTGTAGTTGTTCAGTACAAAGCCCCCGAATGGTCACTTGCGGAAAAGGCAAACATAAATCCGATCAAACTGTACTTGAAACGAACTATTTATGGACTTAGCGAATGCCGAATTGTAGGCTCATACAAGTAAAATATTAACAATATTTTCAACGCGTTCTCACCGCTGGGATTTTGATCGCCATACGAGACTTGTCTTAAGATTTCACATTTGTTTACGAGGTACGGTCCACGTCGGGAATAGTGAGGGAACGCTGGTAGCTTGTCTTACCTTGCGAGGAAAGCGAGCTAAAGCAGCTAACAGCGGACGTGGAGCCGGCTGGACTCGGTGCAGCAGCGCTGTTACTACAATAATGACATGTCCTCAGCTCATTTGTCTGTACATGCCTATCTCTGCTTCACTTACTGACAGGTAACAGCACTGACACATACAGTACAACAGTTAGCTTTCCGGGTGTGCCTTTCAAAGTAAAAGGGCATTGCCCTAAAAATATTCGATATTTAACTATTGTGCGGGAATTGCGGTAGTAAAGTTCACACACAAAATAATAATAATAAAAAATAAGTCAGAATCTTTGTCTCGAAATAATTATTCAGTATATCTTTATCATAACAAAAATCATGCGTCAATCTTAAAAGCACACTCGGCCTACTTCTCTTAGTACACCTAGTTCCGGCTCGCTTGTCGTCTTGACGTGCTCGGCTCTGGTGTAGCCACGTTCAGTCAGGCATAGAGGTGGACAGCCAATCATATTCCAAACTCAAAGAGCATGGACCAATCAAACTGACGCAGCGTCTACAGGCGCTGACTCCTGGACGCTTTGGTAGAATGTGGAAATCGGACTTCAGTGTGCTGATGACTTTAGACCACAGTGGTGACTTGTGAATTCATACAAAAATAAATAAACAGTACTGCAATAAATTCAACTACATTCATTTAAGCCAAACATAAACCATCTCCTGTTACAGTCAGTTAAAACTAAATGTAATTTAAATAGAATATATTCAACTGTTCAGAAGATATTTACGTGCATGTGACTTTCGAGCTTTCGACTGCAGTGCTATAAAAATATACCACCACAGTGATATGCTGTGGCCGTAAATACTAATGGATCTGACTGAAGAGCTCCTTCCCCTTCTCTAAACATAACAGCTCAGCTTCATGCTGAGGTTAATCAAGCAACGCATTGTAATTCACTTCCCACCTGTGCATGCGTGAGAGAGCGAGACTAAGAGCCAGGTGGTGTCTTTACGGGGGGATCTGACCTGGTTTTCCTGCTGCTAATTGAATCTTATCTTTAACATCAAAGTCTCGATTGGACAGGTAGATGTAAATGTTCACAATACAGTATGGCGTGCAGTGGTGATTAAAAGCTGTCTGCCATTGCTAAAAAGGTCAAATATAGTCAAGATATTTGTCAGTGTGCTGCTTAGTATGCTTGCAGAGGCATCGTGTTCTCAGATTGTACAGCCATACATCCGTCTGCACATCTTAATGTTTTAATTTTTAATGTTTAAATGCCGAAAAGATGCTTCAAATAATGTTTCTGCAAGGTTAAAAGTTTAGCACTGGAGGTGCCAAATGTGTCATTTTGACTCCTTTGGCATTTTAACATTAGCAAGCAGTAACTTTTACATATAGGCAAGGAGAAACAACAGCACTGTTTAAGAGGAAAGGACAAACATCGCTTTTTAGTACATTTTAATTAATTGGGTTTTTTTTGTGTGTTTTCAAGGCAAGCGCTGCTTGCCTTTCTTGTCCATCATTGCATTTTAAAGTATCTAACTGTGAAATGGAAATGCCATAACTTTAAATTCCATTACTTTTCCTAAAATAAGTTTATCAATAGTGACCTTTGGGGTTTGTGGCATAAAGAGAAAGATATACAAACCTTTACACCTTGAATCTCCAAAGGAGTTATTATGACACCACAGAACGTGTAAAACAACACTCTAGTTACCTGGCAACATGTTATTTACATGTTTTGGCTGCTGCATGTGTGTGTGTGTTTCAACGATAATTTCTCTATAACTATAACAATAGTTTATAAAATTGTATACAATAAGTGATTTTTCTCATGCAAGCACAGGCTTAGCTGCATTCCATATGAAAAAGTTGAAGTAAACCTCTGGCATGAAGTTCACACTCCCCGTATGTCCTCTTAAAGATGGTCATGCCTTCTCTTCTTCAGTCTCTCTTGAGGTCATTGAGCTTGAGACATAAGGTGTTTTTTGCCAACAGGTCTTCAATACACACCATTGAAGTCATGATTCTTGCATCTTATCTGCAACTGCGAGCCTTTAGACACCAGAATGACTGCAGGTGTCCATAAGTTACGTTTGCGTTACTTCCACATCTACCTAGCAGTACAGAAGATGAGCGAGGATAAAGGCAATAACATGTTGTGGCAGGTAATTTTAAATGCAACATACAAACAACATACTCAACAAACATCAGCAAACAAACAAAGTGTTTGTGTGCAGTTGGTCTCACAGTGTGTTGCTGGCTAAAGGTCCAGTTGCTGTATTTCACAGGGAGAGAAAAGAAAGAGAATTAACTTCACTCAGAGATGGAGAAAGATCAGAAAAACAGGACAGGAGACGGACAACAGAGGTTAGATTTAAAGGTAAGAACTGAGGTAGACTTACTGTGTTATTTATTTATTTCATGCAACATTAATTCATTTTAAAGGTTGCATGAAAATACTCTGATAAACAGGATAATTTGCTGTACTGTGTTGGATTTAAAGTGTGTGTGACTGGTTTCAGCAGCTGTGGTTTCATGGTCAGAGTTAGCTTAAATGAAGTGTTGCAGAGATTAATTTAAAGTTAAGCTGATGGTACTGAGATTCATTTACTGAATTCCACCTTCATAACAACTTTATAGAAAAAAAAGGACAACTCATCAAACATCAGCTGACATTTGGTTGAATCCAGTTGTTGACTTCGGTTGTGTATATCCAAAAAGAGCAGCAGGTTAGCTAAGGTTCAAGGTTCTTTATTCGTCACATGCATAGTTATACTGTCACGATACTGGGTCTTAGGACCCAGTGTTTTGAGTTCTAGTTCATTTTGATGTTTATAGTATGTTTAGCTCATTAGGCCTCCTATGTTCATTTGCTTATTAGTTCCCCCCTTGTGTTTCAACCCATGTTAAGTCTCCCCTGCCCTTCATGTCTCTCTGTGCCCCCTCTGTTCTGTTTATTGTTTATTGTTTTCTGTTTATTGTGTGTCTTTGCATGTTTGAGTTTCTTGTTTTCTGTCACCCTGCATTGTGCATTATGTTCTCATGGTTGGTCTTTTGTTACTCCCTCCAGTCTAGTCTCTTGTGTTCAAAGCTGAGTATTTCCCTCTGTGTATTTTGGTTCTTAGACCTCTGCCTTATGGTTTGTCTCTGTGTTTCTTAGTTGCTGTCTCCACTGTGTCTAGTTCGCGTCTCTGTGTGATACTTCCTGTTTTACTTTGAAGGTCCATGCCTCATGTGAGTGTTTCTAGTTTTGCGT